CCCCCCCCATTGGGATGCTCTGCCCCACAGTTTCTACACCTAGGCTTCGTGTTTTTGAGCTGCAAGGATGAAGGAGGACGTGAGATTAGGTTTAACATAATTTTCCAGGTGACGATTGTGAATGAACAGAGATATTATGGAGGAATCCTAGGATCCCGCTCGCGAAGGCCAACGATAGCAGTCAGGTTTATTTTTGCTGCTCCCACACCTTTAACATTTAGCTCTTTTCAGATGCTGTGCCTGGTGGCAAAGTGTCCGTGGAGCCGTTACGTGACTGCGACCCTTTTGAGCTATCTAGGACGTATGTAGGTTATATTGGACAAACGGGGCCAAAATGTTCCTTGCGCAAATCCTCGTAAGATGAGAAGATGCAGTTATAGGACAGCTTGACCTTGTGAAACTAGGCTGGTCTTCCCAATTATTTGTAAAGCCAAAGTTTGCATGTTTGCTCCGAAGCCACCCTATGAGCGTGCACCTGGTATGATTTGAAGGACAGGAAAAGAACTGGCAGGTCTGTCGGCGTCCCTTTTCTGTCCAAGGACGGCCACCTGGCCACCTAGTACGTCTGACAAATGTGGATCCCCTCCTCCCCCCCCTCCCAGTCCTCCTCGGCCGCTGGGAAGTATGCTCTATCCCCGTCCCTATGCCAGGTTTTCTTGGCTGCCGCGGCAAGAGGAGGGTCTCGTGCACTCGACTGATCTCGAATTGCTAAAAACGTGGGGCGTTTGCTACTCTACCCACTGTTCGGATTGCAATGCAAAGGAATTATTTTGTTTTCTTCCTTGGTTTTCAGCTCTGAATGCGCCTTCTAAGAACGCGGGACTTGCGTCGTTGCGTCCCATCCCCTGCTAACGGAGGCAGCCAGGTCATTTGTCAGTGGCCAAATGTGGTGCAGGAAGGAATTTCCTCCCTCGGTCAGGTTGGAAAAGGACATTGAGGTGTTTTTGGCTTTCTCTGTAGTATGGAGGATGGTCATCATACTCGTATCTTCTGCAAGTATATTAACCAATTGCTTCTCTGTCTTTGCAGTGGTCTTTACACTCCCTCCTTTTACCTATGGCATGCTGAAGGGTTCTTGGTGTTCCTGGTATTGCCCTGTAGTTGTGTGAGAGTGTTTAGAGTGGTGATTTGGGGGAACTCTTGGATTTATGGTTGCTTGTGCATGCAAGGACGTGGATATGCTGGCCTAGGAAGCCTCCTCCAGCTGTATTCCTGTATGATCCCTTTCATAATTGTACCTATCTCCCTCTTGAGAGCAGTTCGGTTTCTTCCCTCTGTTATTTCTTTTGGAAGGTTGTTTCAGGACTTCATTCCTCAGAGATCTGTAAAGGTCCAACCTTAATGTATGCATGACCAGTTTGTATCTTGTTGTTGTGTCACTGCTGGGCTACTGGTGAACCAGGGAATTTGGAGGACATGGCTAGTGTTGGACCTGGCCTGCCATTGAATCTGGGGTGCCCTGGTGGACACGACCATCATCAGGGTTGGGGGTGAGTGAGGGCAGCCCTCAATTGCTATGTGGCCACTTTGCTTACCACCACTTCCGCCACGGTGAGCACCCACCTGACCTGTGACCCCTTGCTGCCACCCCATGCCAGATCCAGATCTGGATTTAGCTCAGCACAAGGTGAGTTTGACACTTCTGGCTTAAGTACAGACCAGGCTTAAGTCCCCACCCTGTTTTAACTTGCTGTGATTTGTTCCTTTCTCCTTGACCTTAATTGCAGATCTATTTTTTGATATCCTTCTTTTTAATTTAAACTGAATGAACTCTGAGCATTTAATTCAAGGCTGTTTTCTGTGTATTTTTAGTGCTTGTCTTTATTGCTTCTGTTCTTAGCTTTCTCAACAAGCATCACACTGCAGTTCACGCTAATCTGCATTTCACTGCTGCAGCTGACAATTCAACCCCCTGGCCTGTAGGCCAAATCCAGCCCACAGAGCCACATCATCTGGCCCACAAGTCTCTGCCCAGGTCAGGAAACTTGTCAGTGGGGGAGCAGCGGCTGTTAACACTGATGCATCAGCCCCATTGCCAAGTTTCTAAGCCCCACGTGGCCAATTTGGCCTGAACTTGGCTCGCCCTGTGCAGTTGGATCCAGTCTATGGGATGAAAAGACTGGCCACCATTGCTCTAGGTAGCAGTGAAGCAAGAGCAGCACATTTGAATTGCTGGAGCAGTGGTAACTACTGGTTAGGGAAAGTAGCAGTACATGTGTCCATATTCCATCCAAACTTGGGAGCCTATTTTTGCAGCTATAAGGACTGGACCATATCTGAAATGAATATTCAGCTTCTATGCGGGGCAATAGTATTGGTTGTTCTTGACACAGATATCTTCCAGTTTTAGTGGCGAGTAGGTACGTGACATTTTCAAACTCCCGCATGTGAAATTATTTGAGTAAACCTGCTGCAACCTTAAAGGTGTTATCCTTAAGGATCGAAGCCCCTCTTGGGATGGAAACAGTGTTCATCTAAAGATTGTTTCCTTAAATGAAGCAAAGTTGGTAGGCCCCAATTTCTGATTGAACTTCACTTACATTGCAAGTCCAGCGCTACCATAGATTTCCACTGTTTTGGTAATGTCAGTAAAGATTAAGAGTGGCTCCCGAGAGTGAACTAGCTCAATACCTTAACTGCACTACCTTTCAGGTCAGTTGTCAGATCAGTGTGAGGATAGCACAGTCACCACCCTTACTTTTCATGTTTTCGGGCAACATTAACAGTGATGTACATTGCATTTAAAATTCAGAGTAACTAATTCCCCGGCCTGAACTGTTCCTCATCAAAGAGGGGCTTGAACGTAGCTGCTAAATTCTATGCTTAATACTCTATGGAAATTATTAAATAAGATGGTAGGCATAATTGAAGCTTTCTTGAATGTAACCAAATTGGCAAAAAGATGTGGCTTTAATATTCTTGCAGTGCTGGTAAACAAAGCTTTCAGTTCATCTCCAAGGCAGCGACAGCACAAACTTACACCATACGCTGCCTGCTGACAAACCAGAACCCTCCTCTCAGGAGAACGTTGCTTCTTCTGCAAGGAGTCAAGTAAAGTGGGTGAGGCTTGGATCCTATTCCCAGTTTTGCCCACAGCAATATTAGTCTGACCTCTCATTTATTTATCCATAAACTGTGCATGTGTTAGTTGCTTCCCCTGAGATAAAGACCTTATTTAATAGCATTTGTGAAGTTCCCCAAAATGTAAAGAACAGCCCATCAAAGCTTTGAGAGTAGAAGTCATGGGTTCTTGGCTTGTAGTTCAGATAACATACCATTAGGCTATGTCTAGATGAGTACAGATGTGTAGTATGTGGTGGCACCACACTTTGCACGTGCAGGTGTTTTCCGCGCTGCTACCTTGCAGCTTGATCCCGGAAGATCCCAACATTATAAAAATCCCATGCGAGAAAAAAGCAGGGTGGTGCATGCAGTGGCAGTGCATGCCACCCAAAGCCAGGCTCCCAGCTGCAGGAGTGCTGCGGCTACAGCTCCCTGATGCCCCCAGGGCTGCAGGTAAGGCTGCTGGGGCCAGCACAGTTGCTGGCCTCAGCCTCCCCTACCCAACCTGGGGCAAGGTGCTGCATGCCAGAGTGCGTGGCACAGGCATTCCCATGGGAGAAGTAGCAGCAGTACAAAGCGTGCCGCTGCTACTTGTCCCTGGAAACGCATGTCCACACTTGTCTGGACGCAGCCTTAAATTCCAAGCAGTTATACAGGGTGAATTCTCTCTTATGCTCATATTTACGCTCAGAAATTAATATCATGAGGGATGTTTAGCATTTGGTTGGTCTGCTTTAATTCAGGGGGCTGCTAATCTGATGCCTTTAATCCGGAACTGAAGCCTCAGTTCATTTGGTGAAGGAAACCTTTTCTGTGGATAATGTTCGCTAACGGACCTTGGTTAGGTCATTTGTCCCCAGTAGACTCCACAAAGCTTTCAGATTTAGCTTCCGTAAAGAAACAGACAGCTCAAGTGAAAAACGTTATTTCTGTGATATGTATGGGCTCTTGCCTCAGGTTCCGCAGGGATTTCTCATGCAAAATGTTCATCTGAGAGCAGGAATTTAGCAAACCAACCTCTCTCAATTCCCATCATTGTGCTCCTACTCCCCTGTAACTGCCAATTGACAGCCTGAACGCTGCTCCTCCTGCAAGCATATGTTAGAAGAGGGAACCTTATATTTATAATAGTGTGATAATATAAGAGCAGCATAAACCGAAGTGAAAGGTGACTGGGAATTCTCCAGCTGGTCACAGAGCAGGACCATGCGACTTGCTAAAATAGCATATGGCAGTGGGGAGGTCTGCATGTGTCCTTGCAGCAAAAGAACGGCTGAGGTTAGAGGGGTATAGTAGAGCCTGAAAAAATTTACCAGGTAGCTACAAAGCAGAGAACTAACCCTAGAGAAAGGTGAGAATGCCAGGTTGCGGGCTCACTTATCAGGAATATCCAAGGACAGTGCCCTACTGAGAAGTCCAGTTCCCCTTCGGTATCCAAACTTTGCAACACCGGGAAATGTATTGGCAGCTGACCAGGAGTCCTAAAGCTACACCTTATTCCAGTATACTTTGACATAGATGTATACCCACACCAAAATGCAGCTTTCTTGTTGTGCAGAATAAATACTCATAAGCAATAAACACATCCATCAGCTCCATCCCCTCTGCAGAGAAGCCACATTTTAGGAGTCCTTGGGCAGCTCTTGACTCTTGATATAAGCTTCAGTGGCCTCACGTGTAGTCTGGAGGAATCAGAATTTGTGGTAGAGGTGATATCTTTTATTAGACCAACCAGATAGCTGCAAAATAACTTCTTTATTTGCAAGCTTTTGCGCACAGACACCTTTCTTCAGGCATAGGAGAAGAGATTGTAAAAGTTCTCCTATGTAGAAATGAAAGCTCATATTTCATAGGGAAGTTGAAGGTGTGGTAAAATCTCCTGTTTGGAACAGTTCATTTTATGCAGGTTAGGCTCAGAGAAAAGTTGGAATAGTCTGTTTCTTCCTACCCTCCGCCACCATTATGACCTTATAGTGATTAAATGATGTGGACTGTGAACACAAATGGTCATTCTAAAATGAGACCCAGGTACGGAGATGTCATATTCCACTCCCATTAATGTTAATGGTGCTATCTGCTAAATCCAGGGGAGAATTTAGCCCTGAATACTTAAACTTGTAAATATTTGCCTCTCGCTATTAAGTACAACTAGAAAAGCTTTAGAAAAGGAGTGCTTTATTCACTTAAATTTGTTACCATTTGGTTTCTGGCAAACAGTTACATTCACTTTAGTCCGTTCCATTTTTATCCGATGTGTAACCATTAATTCTATTACGGAAGCTCAGTTTGTTTAATGAATATGTTGTTCTTTCAGATAACTTGCCCTGGAGTGTTGCTGAAAGACAAAGAAGCACTCTATCTCAGTGTCTGTGTATTTGGGCAGTACAAAAAGACTCGATGTGTCCCTGCAGCATTTCCACTCTTCTTTGAAGAGATACTAGAATTCGAAAAGGTGAGATGATTCCATTATAGGCCCATGTGTGCGTGTGTGTGTGTGTGTGTAAAAACAAACAAACAAAAAAACCCACAGTATCCCCAAGCACAGATGATCACATTGAAAATGACTGGGTCCATTCTCTAATTCCTGTCTCTTTTCAACATAATAGGCATTCATGTCTGCATTTTAAATGCAGTCATTTAAAAATAAATTTGTGAGCACCCAGTTAGAACATGTGATTTTTTTTTTGGAGGTTTTTGTCCTTTTATGAATAGCCTTTCACATTATTTGGAAAGAACTGTGACTTTCTCTAAAAATTAGGTCAAGGATGGAAAAGAATAGTAAAAAATAGGGAGAATTACATTAAAAAAATAATCTTCAGCGACAACATATTGTTCAGCTCAGGCTTTGCAGTGACATCTTTCTCCATTTGAGCTGGTTTTTCATGGTTTGTCACTAGAGTCCTTTTGATGGCACTATAACCTTGTAATTTACAGTTGCCTATTACTTATTCTGTGTCCCAACTAGCTTCATTGTTAGTACCAGAGGAATAATGAAATGCTGTGTTTTACAAATATGATTCAGTTTCTTGACTACTTATGAATAACAATACTTTGCACTCTGTAGTGCTTTTCATCCAAGTATCCCAAAGCACTTTCAAAGACTGACTGACTAAGCCTCAACAACACCCTTGTGATGTAGGTAAGGCATCTAGAAGGATAATTTCACCCACCAATGAATAGTTGAGTGCAACAGAGCAGCTACTTAACAGTGCACAAACACACAACAAGACAATTTAGGGCAGGAAGTGCTGATTACTCTATTTGTCAAAAGTTTGGTACTACCAGCAGTATAATGCACCTAACATCATACAGAGGCCTTTGATTCTCTACTGAGTCAGAGAAAAGAGTGATACCTGCCGTGTCTCTAATGCCACTTTTTGTTGGGGGGGGAAAAATGGTTTTCTCTTTGATTATGTGGTGTGAGTTTAAAAAAAAAAATCTCACTGCAAGATTTTGTACCTTTTGTGCTCAGGATTCTGAAACTGAGCACTATTTGTAATTTAAGTGTGACGCTTTTGACAATGGTCACACTTTAGTGGGGTCGTTCCTTTGGAATCTGTCCTCTACAATCTCCCTGGGTGGATCCAGGATTTTGCAAATGCGGGTGTGGGAGTAGCAACTGATGCTTCAGCGGTGGTCCTATTCTCAGCTATCCCTTTCCTCACTGGGGTGGGCAGCCACACTGTTGGAGCAGCAGCCAGAGACTACTTTTAAGTTCCTGAATCAGGTGAATTGTGTAAGAATCCCACCACCCAATTGTACTCAGCAGCATCTCCCACACTCCCCCAGTGTCCACCTGTTGCCACGTTCCCTGACTGAGCCCGGGGTTGTGGGAGCTCTTGAGCCAGTCCTGTCCCACTCCAGATCAGCTGTGCAGGGAGCCAGGCTCAGCGAGTGACAGCAGTAGCAATGGGTGTGTTTCCCCCAGCCTGAGCCTGCTCCTGGGCTGGCAAGGAATGCACGGGGGGACTGGACACCTGCTGCTGCCCTTGTTCCTGCCTGAACTTAGCTTCCAGTGCAGCCCAGCTGGAATGGGGCAAGAGTGGCTCTGGAGCTCCCACTGCCTCTGGCTCAGACAGGGACAGCCAGGGAGGGGACATGCCATTAAGCATGAAGGTGGAGGGAAGTGGCAGGGAGATTCTTACCTTCTTTGGGGACTTAAAAAAAAAGGACCCTGGCTACTGTTCCTGCAAGATGGTCCAAAAGTGGAAGATGCGACTGTACCACTGCCTCCCCTCTGGCTCTCCCTGTGATAATCCCAGAATCACTTTTTTTTTTGTAGGACCTATGAACATGATGTAAAGAACCTCTCTTTTTTGGCTTTGCAGTGGTAGATGATAAATGACTACTGTTCCCAGAGTAGTGCTAACCAGATCAGTAATAATTGTGCACAAACATGAAAGTAATGGAAACGTGCCTTGTTATTTTCAGTTCAGTGCCAGAAAAATAATCAACATTATCCAAATGGAAAGAAGAAAACGACAACAGAGAACATAATTTTCAAGCATCTAATGGCCTTGTAACACATTCATTTTAGGCGGCTTCTGGAGCTGTTAACCCCTAGATTGTCCATACACTATTACCTGAAACTAGTTTTAGGCACATGTTAGGTGGCTTAAAGTTAGACCAACTCAGGGCAGGTTTATAGGGACCTGCCTGAGTCGTGGCCCAATAACAGGTTTTTTGCAGTCCACTTACAGTGCTCGGAGCCCATTTCACAGGCATTTCATGGTGACCCCGCCCCTCACAGCTGATTGGTGGAGGGTGCCTTTACTTAGTCTACATCACTACTGCTTTTTTGCTCCAACCCTCGCTGCTGATTGGCAGAGTGTTGCCAGCCCCCAACTAGCACTCTGAGGCAAAAGTGGGGCGTGTCCAATGCATGCATTTATTGATGATACTGAGCTTTTCAATCTCCCTCTCCCTGCTTTTTCATACTGTCTGCAAACCTGACAGGCAAGGGAGCCAGCAGGGAGCTGATAATGTAGCATTTATCAGCCCATCAACAAAACAAAAGCCTCTTTCATAAATTCAAGTTCTTCTTAAACAGCTTTTTCCAAGGAAGGAAGGGAGGGACATTACCAGCCGACCTGTTGATTAGCTCCAAAAAGCACTGTCCTGTCTGCCTTTGTCCTGTCCCAGTGAAAATTGCATGTGCGCATGCATGCAGCCAGGGAAGGGTGGGGTAGGGGGAATCCAGGCAGACCTTGCTGAGCCTTCATTCTATGCTGGAGCTTGGGCTAGGGAGCAGAGGGCAGGGCCAGCCCTGCTCTGGAGCAGAGAGCTGAGCTCAGAGCTGCAAAGCATCTGGGATGCTGGGTGACTCTGGTTTAACTTAAACCAAGAAGAGGTCTGGGACAGAGATTGCATAAACCGGTTTGACCCAAATCAGTTAAGTCTGGTACTACATTCAACCAGGTTTATCTTAAACTAGTTTCACTCGTTCTGAAGCTGGTTGATGTACAGTGAACTTATGTCTGTTACAGGTTGAAACCAGTTTCTGATATCTTAAACCGGTTTATATGTAATAGCTAAATATCAGATGATCAAGGCACTGTCTTTCAAAAAAATGAATTATCTGCCTTGGCGGCAGGTTATAATTTCATTTTCTTTTCTCCGCTCTGTGAGGAACAGAACTGTGCAACAATCCAGGGGAAAGTAAACTAAAAGTTTTTTTGTTGGGGAGAGAGGTGTTCATTTGGTAATTGAAAGCATTTGATGAGAATTATTATTTTTTTTCTCTTTCCATGTCTGTTTCAGGTATTTACTAACGTTGTTGATCCTGGAGACCTTGTTGAGCTACTTGAATGTAAGATATGCTTTTTTTTGTATGCTGTATTTCAACTTTTAGTGGCCAATACCAGTAATATGGAGCCTAAAGATATAAAGTTGTTCTAGACAGAGAACAGGAAAAATGTTCTCACTACCTGTCTCTATCATTAGGTGCCCAATGAACAATCCTTCTTCTGTTACAGAACGTGTGTGACCATTAAATTAGTACTTATTCAAAATGATAATTCACATGTGAGTCTAGGAATAACTTCCAGCAGATTTAATGATCTTGTTTAGGCAGTTCTAGTTTGTTTATTATAAACTTGGCCTAATAATAACTTGTACTTTGGTCATACAACTGTGTTAGTCTAGACTTATATATTTGTACAGATTGGTTATAATCCTGCTGTTGTTATTATAGGTACATCAAAACTCCTCTTTTCTGTGTAAGTATTTACAATGTTGAGGTAGTTAAATCAGGGGATGACTTCTCTTGTATTTTGCATATCAAAGTGACTTCTAATTATGATTTATTTTTTTAACTTATGAAAAAACTGTTTTCCCTCTTTTTCCAGTTGACACTGCAGTACTTGAACTAATACAACTTGTTCCTCCAGGTATTGTATTAGTCTCTTCATAAATTATGCACTTTAATAGGTGAATTTCCACGAGGACGTAGCCCATTACAGCAGAATCATTTTTTTAAGCATACAAACAATGTAAAAAGCTCTTCAACAAATAGTCCTCTGAATATAAAATGTTAATAGATCAAGAGGATCTCATCTCTGGAAGAGAATTAAAGCTGAATATTGAAATGTACTGTACTCTGGCTTACAAAAGTGATAATACTTTAGAAATTGAAAGTAAACTTAAACCATCCAATGTGCACTTATTAAAGGCATCAAAATTCACTTGCAGAGTGTCTGCCTGTGAAGTTTCAAAGTGCATAATCCTGTTCTCAGAATGACACTTTCTTCTTTTATTTTAATGGTGACCACTGGGAAAACTCTTATGCTCGCTATAAATATTACAGGTCTCTAGGGAGATGTGAAGATAATAAATAGTGATTTGTCATACTTCTGTTATTGGTTTGTGTGATTATAAAAAATCTATCTTAATGAAATTCAAGTGTTCCCATGAATAATGTAAATCTGCATTTTATTGGAAATAAAGTCAAGTTTGAAGGAGGACTCATTTGGGAACTCTGGTATTAAAAGTACCCACAGTTACTTGGTCCTTAGTAGTTCCAAGGAAATATTTGCTTCTCTCGAATGATTCACCAGAATATTGACACAAAGAAATAAACTGTGTGTGGATTTTTGTTTTACTGCAGTCAGTTTGTACTGGGATGTATAACCTCTGGCAAAGTATCTCAGAACCCCTGGAATTAAATCACTTCACCTAAAAGCTCTTATCCATCCACAACAATGTGAAAGTTCTCATAATATTCCTTGTGGAATTTTTCTCCCCTCAAAAAAAAAAAAAAACAGTTATAGAAGAGGATCTTTTGAGCATCTTTAAGTACAGTTTTAGATCTTACCTAAATTCTTTTCTAGCAGCTGCACACATTTCTGATCCATAGCCACAAATTTTCTCTAATACATAGCTACTGATGTTTACGTATGAAATTCACTGATGTTGGTAAATCATGTGTCTGTATAGCACAACCTGCTTTGTTCTCCAATTAAATATATATATATATATATTTTTTTTTTCCTTTTTTTTTAGTTGGAGAAATTCTAGCAACTTATGAAGAAAATACAAGAGATTTCCTGTTTCCTGACCCTAAGGTTACTCGTGGAAACCATGGTTCAGATCGTGAGATTTTAATGAAGAGGTCCTTTAGCTTTACAGTGAGTGCATCTGTATATTGTATTTACGATACACTGTGCTACACAGGAACAGCATCAAACCAAAAATGATTGCTTTTGACAGATCATTCAACCCCTGAAATGGCAAGTTGTAATCCCAGGCTGAACTCTGGTGAAGATGTAGCCTATCTGCTGGGAGTGTTATTTTTAACTTAACGTGCAAACTATACTTGTATAATGCAAACAAGATAGTATCTAGGTTGGTTTCATGTTAGGTTACTATAAGCTGTGTATCTGTCTCCTCTACTCACTTAAGGGAGAGAGGGGAGGGATAGATTTGGTACCAAAATGTGTACAAGTGAACTAAAGATGTTTCTTGGCAGTGCCTTTTATTGAACTAACTGCATGGCTGGGATAAACTTAGACAAGTTGCTGCTTCCTTGGACCTGAAGAAGAATGCATTGCATTGAAAAGCCTGTCTATCCTAACCATGCAGTTGGTCTAAAAGATATTACCCACAAGAGTCTTTGCCTCTTGCATATTTCCTGGAAGCATCACAGCTACATCACTCAGTTACTCCTGGTAAACTAAGTAACTGCCTGATCTCAGTCCATAGCTCTCCTCTCCACTTGCCGTACTTTTCCATGCGCTTTGTTATAGATTTGGTTCTCACATCACCTAGGCGAGCTGTCTTAGAAACTTTGCCTTGCTTAAGCTTTCACAAAAGCAATTGAGGGTTAACTGATGACATTAACAGAATGAATTAGCATTGATCTTTTGGAAATGTGAGCTCAAATGTACGCTAAATTAAAATGAATTTGGTCTTGGCTTACATCTTGGTAAATGTTTGAGGGAAATGCTTCTCAGAAGGGAGTTGGAAAATCCTGGAAGCAACTTCAAAAAACAAAGTCTTAGGGAGTTGTATTTTTTCCCGGATGGGTGGAAAGATACTATTAAAGGACAGAACACTGGGGTCAAAATGATGTGGACTCAGTTGTTCCCTGTCAGTCACCACTGGATTTTGTCATTAAATGATGATTAAAGGTCATGCATGGCTTGCAGCTGGTACACTGGGCCTCACATAAGGGCAACCTGGAAATTGTCCTGTCAGTTGCAATTAGAGGTCTTAATTCAGTACCTTCTTTTGAATGAACTGAGTTGCAGAGATGGGGTTATGATAATTAGTTGTATTTGAATGAGCTTGGATTAAACGAGCCTTTTATATGGGTCAGTTAGAATCCAAGAAGGTGTGTCTCTTTCTCATGTTTCTCTTGTACCAAAGAATATCACGTGGTGCTGTTGTGGAAGTCTGTCTGTAACCAGTCCACAACTGGACCAAGAGCGTGTTTAAGTAACAATTCAATACACAGATTATATAATGGACAACAAGCACTGTGCACAAATACTATCACAAGAGGTAAACTATAAAACAAAGCCTTAAGAACCCAAGCCACCCATGGTGTTCCCATTTTAGTCAATTGTCTTTCCCATAAAAATAGCAATTTCTACAGCCAGCTAAGGTGACTGACAGCTGTGCTATGACAGCATTTTGATTTCCAATATTTTTTTTTCTTTTCATTAAAACTAAAAGTAGCAGAAGTAAGGCTGCAGTTCTGGGGTTCAGATTGGCAGTGACAGGCAGTGTCTGATTAGCACTGCTAATCTGCCAGTTGGAAAGCATCCCAAGTCAAGAGGATCAGAACTCCTCCAGAAACCTGGCACTGTCCCTGGCTATTTGATGCAGCTTACAGACCCAGTAAGCCTACAAGGCCTTCCTAGAGTTAGCTGTGCTGGTCTAGTGTTTCCCTGCTGAAGCTTTTGCTGGCTTTTCAAAATAAATTTCTATGCAACTCTTCCCCCTTATAGTATGTTTAATCTAGTCTGGTGGTGACTTGCTGTGTACCTTGCTTTCTTCCCTTGTTGTGCAGTATTTGCGTTACATTAATAGGTTGTGCGCATCATGTCTCCTCTTCCTGCCCCAGTTCCAATATCTTTCATGAGAGCCTCATTATGGGATCTTGGGAACTTTTGCTCCCCCTGATCTCCTCCTTTTTAAAAAAAAAATTCTTATCTTTAATTTTTAATTTTCTGCTGACAGTTTCTGTATATACTACTTGATGCTTTGTTCATCTTTCATCTTTCACAGTATTCATGAGCTTTAATCATATTTGGGCATGGACAAACCTATGCTTAGAGTGGTTTTAAAAGGGGACGGGGAGCTGATGCTCCAGACCATACATCAGCATAAGCAGCACAAGAACAGTCAAGTGGGCAGGAGCCTGTAGCTATATAAATGTAGCATATCCTCTGCAGCTTTAACCCTGCTTCATCCAGGGTTAAAATTGCGGAGATTAAGCTCATTTGTCCCTACAGGCTTGTGCGCACCTAGCAATTAAAGTATGACAAGTTGCTGCATACTCCCAAGAACCAGCTCCCCCGCCCCTTTTGAAGCTGGTCCAAGCGCATATTTGTTCCTGCGCTCTGTAGCATGGTTAATGTTTTACAGCTGGGTTATTGATTGGCACAGAGAGGCGTAATAACTAGCACCATCAAATCAGTGATGGAGTAGTGCAAGTAGAGCAAAGGAGTTGTGGATTTTTATCTCTCTCAAATGTTTCTGAAGCATGTACATTCTAGTTCCTCCCCAGTAACTGTTTCCCTGTTAATTGAGGAACAGTTTTATATCATATTATCTACAAACTTCTAAAGGTTCTGTCATAATTGTTGGTCTCCGTATGAACAGTAGGTGCTCTGCTGTTCCTTTTCATAGTGGATATAGTAGTTCTAATTTGTTCCTTTTTAAACTGTAGATGACAGTTGATAATTCATTTGATAATAAAAATGAGTGCTGATTAAAGAAGGTCAGCTTTAAGATGTGTTTATACCCTGTGGTTTGACTTTTTCAGTAAAATTAACCACTAGATTGCATTTGCCATCATTCAGGGATCTGTTAATTGTTACAGCTAAACACATTTGGCATTTTTGTTGCTTGTGCTTTTGACTTCAATATTCTAAATTGGGGCCAAATCATTACTTCTTATGGGGAAAATGTATGTGGGTTGTGCGAGGAGGAGAAGCGAGGTGGGTGAGAGAGTGACCTTACCACCCTGGGACATTTCCCCCAAATTCTTAAGAGGGCATTAGGATTCACAGAGGGGGAAAGTTCTTTTAAGCCTTTCATCTTAGAGTGTAGACAGCTATCGGGGTTATACTAGGAGCCCTAATATATAGATATAATTGTCACATCAGTATGCTCCTATAGAGGCACAAATATATCACAACCATGGTAACTTTTTAACCCTGTCTTGTGTTTCCACACTGAATTCGAAGACCCTGTTGCTGTCCCTGGTCTGGTTCCTTTTACCTTTACTGTGTTTTGTGTGGCTGACCCATGCTGACTTGCGGGATGCCCCGCTCTTCAGTGTGCCGATTCCTGTGCTCAGAGAATCCTCTCTAACCTTTGTCCCAGGGGCAGAGCATATGAGGTTGCTTCCATCACTCTGTCTGGATAAGATGCATGTGTAGACATGATGACGTCTATCCATTGAGCTATGGAACATGTGGCCCTTAATTCTGTATACATTTTTTCTATGTTAAAATTTTGTACAAGTGGCAAAATACAAAAGTTTTACATGAATAGATTTTTAAAAGTTGGTGTAGAGTGGGTCAGACAAGGATGATGTTGCCTTGAGCAGGGGCTGTATTGGCTGTCCTGCTGAGGGCCCCTCTGACCCTACTTTTCTATGATTCTATGGCTTTATCTGTTACAAATAAAGATAGCAACGTCCATATAGCATTTATAAATAAGTTTGCAGAGTCAAGTGTGAATGAAACCTGTAAAGCATCGCTTGAATTTTTTTTGATGCTGTTTAACATGGCATCAAAATCTTTGAAGCCGCTTTTCACAAAGAAATGTATTGAAATAAAAGTCAGACCTTAATTGTTGTACGAAAGCAATATAATCATCTGTAATTGAATTGTCAGAAATGCAAATGTTATCTTCTTGACATTTACCATTGCTGTTCTGTCTTTTCTAATTATCTTTATTAAAGGCTGAAATTAACAAAGGAAATGGTTTAAAATTAGGAATGGTTTGTTACATTAGGTGACATTTACTTGTTTGATACCCTTTATCTCCAGTTGGAGCTTGATGTTCAATTATTGTCTCTCTTCTAGGGAATTGCACCAAAATTGAGATTTTCTACAAGCTCCCTTATTACAGAAAGTGTGTTAAGTTCAGGAAGGATTCACACACAGGTTAGCATAATTTAATTGCTTGCAATTTCATTCCTTGATTTAACGTTGATAGCTGTGATGCCCATTTTTTTTTCTGCGTACTGCTCACTTCAGACTTCTCATTCTTTTGTTGGGGGTAAAGCAGTTGTCATGGATGCTTGACAACTTGATTAAATTTTTACTCAAGAGTGAGTAAAGAGTAGACTTGGTGCATGACAGGAAATGCTGAGAGTTCCTTGATTCCAAAACAATTAGCAGCTGCCATGTCATATGCTGCTGACCTGTCAGCGCCTGGTGGAAAGATACCTTCTCATCATTTCTACTGACACTGCTAAAATCAAGGTTATTTAATAGCGTCCTGATGAACCAAAATAAGATGTCATTTAAAAACAAGATAATAAATAGCTAGGAGAAGAAAAAAAAAAGAAAGCCTTAATTGTAATTAAGATGATTTCAATTTAAAAAGTTATCATAAACTTGCTGATCAAATATCAACGTGGAAATCATATACCTATTACAGTTGACTTGTTAGATGAGCTTACTGAAAAGCCTTGAAGAGCATCTTTTTCTTCAATTTCTTTTCGTGCTTTATTTAGCATTTCACTGCCTTGAACATCAGTTTGACCTGTCATATGCACTCATGTGAGGACATCAGTTTTAAGGCTTTTTTTTCCAGCCTGTCCAAAATGGTGCTTACTAGTAATAGCAACATGTACCGTGGAAATTGGATGGGTGGTAGGCAGGAACATGCACAGGGGAAGGAGTTGGAGGCCTGGATATGTCTGAGGATAGCTGCTGTTGGATTGCCTAAAAGTCCCCTCTAAAGTTAAGGCTGTTTTTATTCCCATGCTTACATTCCAAAATATTAAAGAAAAAAGTAAAGATTGGCATGTGATGCTGGAAAAGAGTTCTCTAACACAAACAAAAAATCAAGTTAAAGAGAGGCCATAGTGTTGCAGTCTCTCAAATGCGCCTAACAAGTTACAAACAGCATTACAGGTTTGTAAGGATGTATAGTCTTAAACATCTACTCATCATTGTGTGTGCACATGGAAAGACAAAGAGCAGCTTCTAGTCAGTCACATTCCCAGGTTCTTTACTACAGCACCGCTTTAGCATTTCAGGCACCGAATAGGTTTTAGAGCATTGCCTCGTTTCTTTTATTTTTTTAAAAGAAAATATTTTTTTTGACATTAAGCTTTTACAAAATGTAAAGTTTGAGCAGAGTTTGGAAATTTTGGTTCTCCATGCTGTGAGATTCAAACTCAAATGTGTCTTGAGCAAGTGTTCAAAGATGGTGCCTTTTTATCTAGTGCTACGACCCATAAAGCCCAGAGAGCAAATTAAAGATCACTTTCTGCTGGAAATTGGATACATTGTAACTCCTTTGTAAATGAAACTTTAGTGCCAAAAATATTAATCTTACGATTGCATCTTAAACTGGTAATTGAAGATGCTAATATTTAAGACTGACTGTTCATTCAGCTAACTCTTAGTTAGGCTTTGGATCTTGAAAAAGAATTGCATTGTTAATATACCATGCATGGGCACATATATTAGAGAAGCTTTTTTAGTAGAAGCTTTTTCTTTTTAAAGAATTAATAATTCTGTCTTTCAATTAAATGCAGTTTTAAAACGAGCTAATTTTAGGCAGCTTGTAAACTGCACATAATGTAAGCATTAAACAAGCATACTGCCATTTTCTATATACCACAAAAAGGTTTTTAATAGATTTAGTGTTACCTAAGTGTAATGTAAACTGAAAGATTTACAAAACATTTATAGGAAGGTGAACAAATATTTTAAATCTGTAAACATCCAGTCATGTTTTAGGTAGAGTCATTATTAAATGAAGTAAAGTGACATAATTCAACTTAATTTTACAGAACATTTTTCCCACCAACTGTGTGAGCAAGCTAATTAGATAAGTAACAGGCACTTAACCTTAAAGTCTGACATTTAACAATGTGCATTTTAACCTCCTTCTGGTTTTAAACAAATCTAAAAATGCATTTTTGTTTAAATTGCTGTTTGATTATAGTTTTGGTAGGTTAACTTAAACTGACACGCATCCATTTCTGTCAAAGGTATTTGTTCCCTTTTGGACATGTTTTGAATGTTGCATTATCACCAGTGATCTTTGCTCTACATGCTGTCAAAGCAGATAATTTCTCTTTTCACTTTAGGATCATTTGGATCGGGTGCATCATTCAACACCAAATGGAAAATTGCAAACAAGGTTACCAAAGAAAAACACCCTTTCACCTGAGAGAGGCAGGCATAGCCCAGTAACAAAGAACTACGAGCAACCCACAATAGCTTCTAAATCACGATCTCCATCTCCATACACAAAAAGACGAATGTGTGAGCTATCAGAAGAAGCCAGACAACGCCTGGCCCATTTAAACCTCGGGCCTTTTGAATTCAGAAGAGAAACTGATAAACCACCATTTGTAGTTAGACGTGTATGTGTTCTCTACAAAGTGTTTCCAATTTAAGCTCAGATCAAATATTGTTCTTTCTCTGAACACTACTGCAAAAAAAAATCATTCAGTTCCTAGTGTATATGAATAATTTTTCTCTCCAAAATAGCCTGCCACTTAGTGATTTAAATGTAAAATTAACTAGAATAAAAGTTCTTTTGTCAGCACTGCTAATAGACAAAAATCAAGCTCTTTCATGAATACCATGGTTAAATGCTTTGAGCACCTCTATCCTTTTTTCTAACACACTGGGCAGGATAATGTGTGTGTAAATTCAACTGGGAAGTAATGGGTATTAATAATAAAAGTGGGGCACTAGGATTTAAAACAGGGCACCTAGTAACTTTAAGAAATCAGATTGCTTTCTTAACTTTATCTTCTCCCATATTCTTTTGAAACAGTCTTTTTACTAACATCTAAATCTTCAAGAGTTTGATCATTCAGGTTCCCGGTCATTCTGACCTTGGCCCAAGAAGGCAGTCATGCGTGCATGTATCCATGTTGAGTCCCTGCCTTCAGAAGAGCTATTTAAAACTACTTGTATTTTAAGTACTTTCCTAGTTTGGGACGTTTTAGGATCTTGGAAGATCATAATCTGATTTGCTTTATTTTTCTTTACATATTTTCCATGGTAACTAAGTACCTATTTTAAGAACCCAACCTTGAAAGACTGGAGAGACAGACTGGAGACACAAATAAGACTGTTTTGCTTTTCACTCTGTGCTATAAGTACATACAGTTCCATGCATTTGCCACAATATGTGATTAGCTTGCTTCTCCATTTCATTTTCTAGTTATTAATAATTGATTTACTTGTCTATGTATAGTCTAATTCGTCTAATTCTAGAATTCACTTACAAGTTTTTTTTATTCCTAGATATCCTTTAGAAATTCAAATCAGTCTTAACTGACCATTACTTGCTCTTTACCTTACTGTTTATCACTCCTATGGATAATTTTCCTGTTTAGCTTAATTATTTTTTTTTCTGTTTTCTGTTCTATAGTGTAATTGCTGCATTTTTTTGGTCCCAGTTGCTGATTCTGATTACATTTGTGCCTCTTGTGCATTTTCTTTTTGTAGCTCTGCTGCATTATTTTAATATACCATATATCGACTATAATTGCCTTCCTGTTTTGATAACACACCTTATGTGTATACTTAATGCTGAGGTTTGTCCAGACGTGGAAATTTTCTCTGTATCATTAAGATCAAAATTAGCTTTTTGTTGGAAGGTAATTTTTTTACTTGGGGAAAAGATCAGCACTTTTAAGTATCTTGGTGAGATCAGAACTATTTCTGGTGAATACTACATATCAAAATCTGCCAAAAAAATAAATTGTACAAGCTAACTAAAAAAAGGTTGCATGTGTTGGGGAAGTTAAAAATAAGGAGCTAAACTTGATTACTTTGAGTTCTGTTAAGAAGGCTATAGTGGTACTGCTTAAATGCAAACGAGAGTAAGTTGCGCTCTTTCTACCCCGCATGTCTTGTGTCCCTTCTTATTTGCTTCATAATGCCTAATTTACAGCTTTTAATACATTTCGAGTGAATTTATGTAATTGTAAATAATGTATGTAATTGTAAATTGTGTGTGTGTGTGTGTGTGTGTGTGTAGACAGACTAGCTATTATATACTAAGCATTTTAACAGTGTTTTGGCTCCAGGTTGAACATCCGAGTCCCTCTGGCGATCTTCCTACCTGGTGTACCCCCAGAGAGAGTGCAAGAGAAGCCTGGTCCCGAGTAACCTGTGGTGAGTACTGCCTTCCATATAGATATTCCATATAGGAGGTTCATATTTTTAACCCCTTAATGTGGAAAGACTATTCTTTCTTCTGAGGTTTTAGCCAAGACACTCCAATGAATGGTTTAAGTTCTTTTGCTTCTCTAGATGTTTGGTTATTTAGTTGCTTATCATCTCAAAGCAGTAGAGTAGTACCATTGCTAGGCTGTTACATTGGTTTGGGACTGTCTACATATGTTTTCTGGACTTAGACAGTGAGCCAAATCTAAGGGTAGAGTGTTTGTGGGAGGTGGAGTTGAAATACTCTGAGTCCCCTTCCAGATTCCAGTGTTGCAGAAACTGATAGTAACTTACCTACAGCCATATGTGTGAGTAGTTGATGGGCGATGTAATATCGTTATTCTGGATGTTCGCTCACCAAGAAACATGCGTTCGTATATCTCGTCAAACATGGGCATTGGCATAAACAACAGAGGATGGTCTAATTGCTCTGGCACCCAACACAGTTTTACTACAATAAAAAATGGTGACATCAAGACTTGCAGCACAGGTAGAGAGTGTTGCAACTGGTTTCGAACCAGTGTCCATAAATTCACATGGTTCTTAATAACTGTGGTTGATGCTTTTCCTGTAAATAATGGAAGGTGGTCCAAATTTAGCACTTAACCAGAGCTGTTAGCACAGCTACATCATACATTGGTTCAAATCACAAAACATCATGTTTAAATACACAAAACTAAGAATTACACCTGAAATGATGAACTAATAGTTATGAGCGCCATTTAATAATAGAATAACTCTATAGGTAAGTAACCAGGATGAGCATAACTGGTATTTATGGCAACATAGTCATTCTCCTTGTTTCATAGTTTCTGCAACAGATCTGCTGTCATAACTTTTATGCTCAATACTAGTATACCCATTTACTTCTGTAGTCAGAGTTTAGAGGCCTTTTCCAAAACTGTCTCCATCCAAAGTCTTGTGATCTAGAATTTGGCTGTTGATGTCTTTATTTGAGCTGAAAAATGCAGAATATAGTTCTGTTATGCCTACCTATAATGTAGGTTGGTGTTTTAGGTACTTCATGTACCTTATCATCTTTTATTTCCCATTTATGCCAGGATTATCTGCTCCATTGCTTCCAGTAATCCATGGATTAAAGTTAGAATCTCTTAGTGGAGAGCTTTGTTCGAAACAGCCCTACTTTAATATACTGTATTTTCACAGACCTGAAGAGTCACTGTCTGCCTTTGTTAAAATTAGGGAAGGCACTAGTTTTAAATGTTTAGATATCCTTCTGCAAGGGGCAAAAATCTTTGTGGTGATATTTTTTTATTTCTTTGTAGTATTAATCAGATAATATGGTAGCATAATGACCACTAATTAGTATTTGTATACATCAGGTGTCCTTCTGTTAAGCCTTGTTGTGACTCCTCACTTTTAAGAAATAAAGTGCAGTTCACCATGAATTAGTTCAAAATTTGCCCAAAGTGATGGGACTGGATGGTTCAGGATATAAGTATATTTAAAGGTCTCACATACCTTTCAGGGCCATAAACTTGACTGTCGCAGATGGGTAATGTCAAAGACATATCACCTAATGACCATTAAGCACTTACATGAAACGAGTTGGTGGTCTCAGGCCAGTAGCTACGTGTCTAAAATATACTCCACTTGTAACAGATCAGAGGATTTCCTAGTAGAAAGCCATTCTCCTGTCCATGGCCTGGGGCTTAACAGTTGTAACCTTCAGATTTCTAGAATCAGAACATCTAATCTTGGCAAAGACAGCTCGGCCCTCTTTATTTCTAAAGCGAGCTAACTGAGGGTATGTCTATCATCGGCAGCAATCCCTTGCAGTCGAGGATGATTGTCTCCTTTGACTGCTTTATCTCTGCATCCAAAGATGACTGAAGAGGCTGATCAAGGATCAACAGACTTTTGCAACTCAGGCACGTGTTTCTGGGCTCTGGATTTTGATTCGGTCCGCAACGTGTTTTTTCTGCCACTCCTGCTTTTCTGTCTCCTGTTGTCATCATAAGGTTTCAAAGTACTGAGATCCTTGCAGCAGACTCTTCCTCCATTTAGAGAATGGAGGTGGTTCTGGGCAATAGTTCTCCATGGGTTGATGTTGATGTTACATTTTTTCAAGTCGGTCTTGAGGACGTCCGTGAAGCACTTTCTCTGCCCTCCTCTTGAGTGTACGCCTTACTGAGCTGGGAGAATAAAACTTACTTCTGGAGTCTGGATTTGGATGTCTAGATGACATGGCTGGCCCAGCGAAGTTGATGTTGAATGATTGTCCCCTTGATGCTCGTAGTGTTTACTTGTACAGTAAGGTAGGGATCACAGCTGCTTCATAAACCATGAACTTGGTTTCAGATCTCATGCCTGTGATGTTTCAGACCCTCAGGCGTCTGAAGGTTGCATTTTTAAGGTGGTGTTGGATTTCTTGGATGCTGGATGCCAGCTTTCTATGGTACGGGAAATAGGTAACATTCTCCAAAGTCACACCATAAATCTGAATTCCAGACCTGGGGACTGTTCATTAAGAGCTTGTTCATGGAGGACCTTGATCTTCTGAATTTTAAGCGTCAGTCCCATTTTCTTGTATGCCTTGGTAAAGATGTCAGCGATTGCCTGAAGGTCTGCTTCTGAGTAAGTGCACACTGCAGCATCATCGGTGTATTGGTGATTGACAATTGAAGTCAGGGTGGTTTTGATTTTGGCTCAGAGTCAGCTGAGATTAAGCAGTTTACCATCCATTTGGTACTTTAGCTCCAATCCGACTGAAAGCGTGATGGTGGTCAGATGTCGCATGGCAGCGAGGAATATTGAGAAAAGTGTTGGAGCGATGACGCAGCCTTGCTTAACCCCATCTGACCTCCAAGGGATGTATTATAATCTGTTACTGAGAACTACCGCTTGCATACTGTCACGGCGCAAGCAAAGAATGGTGATGAATTTCTACCATTTGGGAAATTCGTACAACGGACATCCGTGCTTCGGAAGGATCCTCAACAGTGCTTCTTGGTTGACAGAGTTGAAGGCTTTCATGATGTCCAAGAAGGCCATGTAGAGAGGTTTAAGTTGTTCCTAGCATTTTTCCTGCAGCTGGCAAGCTGTGAAGATCATGTCAGTTGTGCCTCTTGATGCCCTAAACCAGGGGCAAGCAAAATACGGCCTGTGGGCCAAATCCAGTCCACCAATCACTTTCATTCAGCCCTCGGCACCTACCAACAAATTGTACCCAGCCCAGCCCTTCCACCCACGAGGGTGGGAGCAAAGTGCCCACATGTACATATACCCCCAAACATACCCAGTTGCACCTTGCTCCCACCCTTGTGCGTGGAAGGGCCCGACTCGGCCAGCATGCAGCTTCCGGGCAGTGCTGCTACTGCTGTTGCTGCTGCAGCAGCCCCCCGGGACCTGCTCCGCTTCCCTGGTCTGCTGGCTCCAGGCAGCAGGTAGGAAAGCAGTGGGGGTGGGGCTGCAGCTGGGCCAGAGTGTGGTACTAGGGCTGGTGGCAGTGCAAAGCCCTCACTCAGCGGGTTGCGGCAGCGTGGATCTTGGGTGGGCAGCATATGGGTGTGAGGGGTAGTGGCGGGGGGGGGGGGCCCCCCCCCCCATAGTGTGTGGCCCAGGCAGGCGGTGGCAGCAGCAGCAGGTGGGGACATTTAGGGCGCTCGTGCCCGGTGCAGGTACCATCAGGACATGGCTCTGCCCAGTGCTGCACATTACAGTGAGGGGCACAGCCTCTCCCAGGCAGTCTATACTGCCAGCGCTCCCCGCCACTCACATTTAGCCCCTCCACATGTCGGGCACAGAAGGGAAGCCCCAGGTACTGGAGCCGGCTCCAGCAAGATGTTGAATCATCTTCGTCTAGCCTTCCCACCATCTGTTCTTCATATTGTGGGGCCTCTGCCTTGGCTTGGTGCTTCAATTTCTTTTGGAGTTGATGTCATTCTGCCAAGCACAAAAGACCTTGCACTTGCAGTCAATCAACTCCTTGGATCACCCAGTCATTCTCATCAAAGCAGTCTTGATGGTTCCTGATAGAGAATCCAAGCATCTCTCCATAGGCGCTGATGACAGTGGGTCTGAAAGCACCCCAGGCACTGCCAGCATTCTCCCATTGCTGTTGACTGGAATTTGCCAGTCTTTCATTGAGGTACTGGTGAAAGAGGTCCTGCTTGATTGGTCCCTTGAGTCCTTCGACACGGATATTTTATTGGCATTGCTTTTGCTGCAGCGTTCGTTTGGGAGCCTGTTTGAGTGACAACCAAAAGATGAGTCAGTGTTTGGTCCAGCAATCATCAGCTCCTAGCATAGCTTGGATGATGTGGACATCTTTTTAATCCTGGGCATGAACAAGGGCGTAGTGCCAATCCAGTGCCAATGCTTAGATTGTAGGTGTTGGTGTCTCGTGCCTGTTTTTCTGGTGGAACAGGGCAGTGGTGATGGTGAGTTCATGTTCTACGCATTTGGTCAAGAGGAGAACGCCGCTGGAGTAGACCTTTCCCACTCCTTCCTTGCCAGTGGGTCCGTTCCAGAGGTTCAAGTCCCTTCCAACTCTTGGCATTGAAATCACCGAGCACAATAAGTCTGTCTCCCTCTGGAATGTCAGAAGGGACTTGGTCAAGGTTGATATAAAATTCCTCCTTGGTTTTGTCAGGGGTGTCAAAAGTTGAGGCATACATGCTGATGACAGTAGCATATTGGCTCCCTGCCAATTTAAGATTGAGAGTCATGATGTCTCATTAATTTCGATAGGGACCTCATTGAGTAGGTTTATGAGTTCGTTCTGAATGGCAAAAGCCAACTCCATGAAGTCGGCATTCTCCTTCCTGTTTACCCTTCCAGAAGAGGGTATAGCTGCCTCCTTGTTCGTTGAGCTTCCCATCTCCTGCTCGCTGGGTCTCACTTAGTGCAGGGATGATGAATCTACTTGGCCAAGTTCTATGTAGCATAGAGATACCTGAGCTAGCTTTAACCTTGTCAGCTTGGGTCCTGGAAGCATTCTAGCTCAGGCAATGTGCACAGCACACACAATTTACATACCACACATACCTTTCCTGCCCAAATCAGCCCCTCAAGATAAGGCTGTGTGCTGTCAGTATTTCCACTAAGATCATGTGACTGGGATGATTTCTTTGGGGCTGGTCCTGCTTTGAGCGGGGGGTTGGATTAGATGTGACCTACTGAGGTCCCTTCCAACCCTAATTTTCTAGGATGTTATGTGTCAGTAACACAGCACTGCTGTAAAGCAAAAAGCTGGAAACAGTTGTAAAAAAGATAAGTTGAAGAAGGCTAAACCTTAAGGTGTTAATGGCTTTGCTGCTGTCTTGAATTACACAATATATGACAACAATCCATTGGTTTAGATACTGTTTGAAAGGTTTTGCTAAAGACCTTTTTTAATTTCCCTAAATTAAAAAAATACTCTCTTGGTGGTCTGAAAAATTGTTCAATTTCTGTCTCTGCACTTTTTTTTTCCCAGATCCTTCTCTTCTTGGCAGCTACAGACCTAAGAAAACTAAAGTAAGTACTGCAAAAAATATTGCATGTAAATTGCCTTGTGCTTTAGGGGAGCTGAGAACAGAAAGACTGCGTATGATCCTGTTTTGAAGGTGATGAAATCGAAAATATAGCTTGTGTCTAGGGTTTTGATGCTATATAGGACATTATTTTGCACTGTTAAGGTCCGTTACATTTTTTTTACTATGAAAAGTGTTCTCAACGTTCGGTACAAGACTGGTGAGACTATGAAAATAAACTGTTGCTGAGTATTCATGATCGGCAGTTAGAAGGACTACTTTTCATTTATATTAAGGCTGCTTTACAACATCAGAGCTGTGGAAAGGCACCTTAAAATGGGTATAAAATTACATTTACAATCACTTTGAGAGAACTCCTCGCAGCCTCAGAGCACTGTAAAGTGGCACTGGTGTAATGGACAGATAAGGCAGCAATGCTTTATTTTTTTTTAAAAGTTACTACTAGTTACTTCACATGTTCTCCTTTTAAAATCCTAGCTGCTTTGTATACAGAAAAGGGTTCTTGGGTTCTTTTTCCCCCCTGCTTCAGTTAGCTGCTTGTCTTGTGTTCTTAATTGGGGTGGAAAAGCTTCTTTATCACACCTACCTGACAGGTCTCCTTTCACATTTCTAACTGTAACACTTATTTTCTCTATACTTTGTAAGATTTTTCTCTTTCCTGAAGCACTCTGGAAACTTTGCCAGCAGCTGTAGGCAGTCATTAATTTGTGTGTGTGTGTGCGCGCGCCCTGTTAGGGTCCCTAATAGTTGTCAAGAGTAATGATGTAGAAAGGAGGAAGTAAAGTGAATTAAAAGGATAATCTTTTGATACGGGCTAAACACACACTAGTGTCTGTTTCTCCACTTTTACTGTGTAGGATTGCAATGTTATAGTAGCCTTACATGGTACCTAATATATTGTGCTGCCTCTGGATTGCTTCACAGTCATAAACGAAAAACTGGAAAGAGAACTTCTACTAAATATGTTTTTATAATGGACATTTTAATTAAAATCCATTTTTCTCAAATGAGGAAGAAGATATTAGCAGCAGTCATTGTTTGGAGCACACAGATAACACAGTACAGATTAATTCATCACTCTCCTGATGCCCCAAAGCATTTCTGGTTCCAAAAAAATAAAGGCAGAAGGGAATATACCTTTTCTGTTGCCAAAAATATTGTACAGCATTAAACTAGATGTAATTAGTATTGTGTGAACTAAGAGAACCTGAGAATTATTAATGGTGAAATGTAGCTGTTATGGGGAAATTGGTATTGAATTTAATAAGATGCTGTTTTGTCCAAGTGTGTTTAATCAGCAGACTCTACTGACTAAGACTCTAATTTTGTAACAAACATCAAATACATCTTTTAGATTTGTTGTGATGGGATATTTACACCCCACGCAGCAGCAGACCAGAAAGAGATATTGAAGAGCCTAATTACCTCCCCCAGCTTTGACCAAGCAGCCAATTATAAATAGCTGCTATAAAAGACTGCAGCTCAGGCAGCAAGGGGCAGCAGGTGAGGAGGCTGCCTTGGAGAGGCTTCATAGATACAGGTTGGGGGAAGCTGTGGTAAGGCTAATGTAGGGAGAAAGACAGTGAAGCAGGTAAGGCAGAAGTGGTAAGGGATGGACATTGAAGTCTTCTGCTCGTTAAGGGCATGTCGTGTAGACAAAACGGAGGCCCTAAATTGAAGCAGTGGGTTTTTAAATCCACCGCTTCAATTTAGGGCCCTTAAAACCCCCTTATTGTGCACACACCCTGCACTTACCTGCCTCTTCAGCAGTGGGGAGTTGGGGGTGAACTGCCGGTGGGTGGAGCAGTTCCTGGGTTGCAGGGGAGGAGGGGGGCGGGATGGTGCTTTCTTCAGTGCCAGCAGTGGCCCACCCCCGCAGGCAGCACCAGTCTGCAGGCACCTGGCTTGGGCAGTCCCGGGGGGCACTGCAGGTGCAGAGGGAAGCACTGGGCCCCCACGCAGCTCATGAATGTAGGCAGGCTTCGGGTGCGGGGAGGCGGGGATCAGGTTTGCTGCTTTTCTTGGGCAGAGTCTGCCTTCCCAGGCTGCCTGCAGAGCCGTGGAGCTGCATGGAGCCTGGTACTTCGCTCTGCAGCTGTAGGGGCAGTAAACTATAACTCGGAGGAGGAGTTTTAGTTTGCTGCACCCTAAGTCATTTAAGGTGCGTTACGTCGCTGAATTTCCTACAGTGACTGGAATTAATGTGCAATACGCCGCCGGGGTGCGCAAATACCGACACCATTAAAGCGGTGCAAAAGTATTTAGCCCACTTCAAAGTATCGTGCACACGCACCCCTCGTTTCATCTACACGGCCCAGCACAGGATCCATGGGCTGGAATGTAGAAGTGAGAGCTGGCCTTGTAGAAGAAGTAAGAACAACCCTAGAGGTAAAGAGACTTGGGCTATGGAGGTCTGCACCGGGCAGAGGGCCAAGAGTGGGCATACGACTCTCTAAACTTTGGGGTATGAGTTGGAACTTTGCTACCCTTAAGATGGGTGAGTCTCTGAGTTTTGCAGATAGAAAATATTATGGGGAACATAAGGACTGCTTTTTTAGACCCAGCCATAAAAAGGTGCCAGGCACATTGCTGGAGCCCTTCAAAACTTTATTTGGATTAGCTCACGGTGCCAGGTGCAATCCTTGAAGCAGGGTTGGGAACCTAGGGGCTGGAGTGCATTAGTCACAAAGCAATAGAGTCATTTTTCTTTTCAATCCAGTAAATGTTAAATTATTTTTTACAGTAGCTCGGTTTCAGTGGGAGAGGAAGAGAACACCTGGCATATAGGGTGGTAGGGAGGGCTCTGTCCTGGCTAGTGGGAGATGGGGTCAGGCTGAAGAGGACATTGAACTATAATCACTCACTTCCTGCGTATAGGCAGACAAGGTTCTTTGGGGAAGTCTGATATCTTTTATTAAACCAACTTAAATAGTTGGAAAAATTCTTTCACTTCCTGAGTGCTCTCATCCCTGGGCTACTGCATAAAAGGTAGGTTCTTCCTCCATGAAAAGTGGGCTGTACTCAGTTCTTGGAAAGAACTAGTGTGTGTCTGGCCTCTGGAGATAACCATGGGTCTCGGTGGATAGCGGCTCCATCATGCAACCTTGAGTGAGGTGCTCAAGTCTCAGAGCGGGGTGGGATTTAAGACACAGCATTTCTTGGTGTTTTCTACTGGCTAACTCCAGGCAGTTCACTGCTCAGCTCTTTAGGATCCCACCCAGTATAGTATGATAGGAACATTCAACTTAAGCAGCAATTGTTCTAAAACCATTCTCCTACATGATGGGGTAAAAGATAATCCTAGCGAGTAGGGAATTTCTTGTCTAGCTTGGGGAATTCTTTGAAATAGTTCCTATATGTGGGTACTTTAACTAGTTTAAGCCCTACAGCTGTTCCAAAAAAATGCATGGAAATGTTTGTAACGTTGGGAAGACTGTCGCTCGCTCGTCACCTCCCACACATCCTCGTGTTTTGGCTGGAGTTTATTTGTTGAGACTAAAAGGTAAAGCATCGCCTTCAGACACCAACTCTAGGAAAGGTGAAAATGTTGAAGTTGTGACTGAAGGCTGGGGTTAGCGTGGAAAATATCTAGCAACCTTTAGTCATGATGGATGCTGTCGCTCCCATTGTCATGTAGCATATTTACTACAAAATTAGATTCTCTATCCTACCCCCAATCCAATATGGGAAGGGAAGAAGCCCCTCCTCTTGGATTTGAGCAAAAATTGAGAGGAGGTTACAGCTGTGGCTCCAACCCCTAGCTTAGGGTTGAAGTTAGAACTGCAGCTGTCACCCCACAATCCTGCAGCCTCTGCTCCCTCTGCCCGCACCCCAGCTGCCACCTCTTACCTTTCTATCTCACCTCTGGCTCCAGCTGGAGCCCCACTCCAGTTTGGGGCACAGAGCACATGCTGCCTTCAAGCCTTGCCCAGCTGCAGTTGCAATTCTAGCCCTGCCTATAGGGTGGCACCGGGACCAGGACTGGGGCTGGGCCTGGAGTTGTTGCCACTGCAACTGCTGCCGCGTGCTCGTGTAGAGCCAGAGGCAGCTTGTGCTCCATACCCTGGCCTGGAGCAAGGCCCCAGCCAAAGCCAAGTCAGAGGTGGTGGGGGGAGGGGAACAGGAAGACAGGAAATGGGAGGGGACAGGTGCACGCATGCAGGGGGCACATGGTAGCGGGGCAAGTTGCAGGGTGTGAGTACAGGCACCATGGTGGAGCAAGTGGTAGTGGGGGCTGGTGCAGGGTACCATGGAAAGGGGGGTAGGTAGAGGGTGTGCAGCCATTGGGTGGAAAAGGGCAGGCAGCAAAGGGGGCAAGAGGTGGGTTGGGGCAAGACACAGATGGCAAAAGCAAAGATCAGGCCATTTGACTCACACACTGCTGCTGCTTGTCCTGTTGCAGTGGTGGGGAGAATGAATTTAAGACGACCCTCCAAAAATTAGAATTGTGCTTGGAAAATCATAAATATTCCATGTCTAGAATCGAATTATTGGAGATCCTCTTAAATTTGAAGTGGTCTTGGATTCAGGTAAATATGATACAGAAACATCTGGTACTAAGTGTCTTGTGTATTGCATATGGGTGACAGAACCAGCAACTTTGTATTCTTCCAAAAAATAACGGTCTTTCATTTTTTCTGCATTCAGAAAAAGTGGAAATTGTATGTCTCTCTCCCCTAGTAGTTTATGTAAAGATGTAGCCAAAACAGTTGGCTTCCTGTATACCATTCAGAATTATTCTCCTTTTTTTTTTTCTCATTGACAGGTAAGGTCTTCTCATGGGAAAGACCTTGATGGCTTTTCTGACAGCTGTGATGAGCACCTGACATCGGGTACAGCTAGGCAGTTTCGTTTTTCTAGTTCCTTAATACGTTCCGCACCCTCCTCATTGCAGAAACATTCCTTAAGTTCTGTGCTAAACCGGTCTTCTCTTACGGAAAGGTAATGGTTCGCTTTCACTCTTCCTTTCTGATGTTTTAGAATAACTGATCCTTAAAAATAGCAGTAAAGGTTGATTGTTTGGAGCCTGAAATGGATTCCCTGTCACATTGCATGACCATTTGAACTGTCATGGAGGGCTACATTTCTTAAACTTGTAGTGTCCATCTCCTTTTGAGTACGTGAGTAGAAACCCAAGTGATTGAAGTCCCAGCTCATTGCAATACAAAAATTCTAGTGATGTGAATATTTCAGATAATTGCCATTATTTAATCCAATGGTTTTGGTGCTGAATACCTGTGACAATACTTCAGTCAGTTGGCTAGTGTCTTGGAATAGTCATTCACTAAAGACTGAAATATCTGTCAATTTATCTATGCCTGCGGTGTCGTTAGAGGTGTAATTGCATTGCATACGGCCTTTCATCAAACTAGCTTGGGCACCAATAAGAAAAGTGGTGGTATGTCCCAGACTTCAGCATGGACTGTTCAAGCCCACAAATAATACTATGTATTTCTTCAGGTGCCTTGCCTATAGCAAAAGCTATACCACTACCTCTTGAACTCTAGTCATACCCAAGTGAGGTAGGTAAAAACTGGCACAGATATATCTACTGGTATTTGTGCTGTAAATTAACTTTAATTTGCACTCTAGACACGATCTGATGCAAATTACACCATTTTTAGCAACAGAATTTGGATTTTTTTAGCTTTCTTTAAAAAAAATATTTTTTTTTACCTGTGAAAATTCAAGTTAATATTCCTATATGATCACCCTGTACTGGAAAACTTGTACCCACTTTTTGGACGTATAATACTTACGATTAGCTAACAAAGATTAGCATGTGTTACAGAGGGAAAGGATTTTTCTTTATCTTTGCACCTTGTTTGTGTATTAGATTAAATCATGCATGTGATTTAAGGAGATCTGTTATTTTACCCTCTTTATTTTGTGCTGGTCTTCTTACTGGGGCAGAGAAAAACAATAAAAACACAACAAACTGACATTTTTTAAGTATATTTTAAGTGTATGGAGTGTAGAATAGTGCTGTTGCTAGGGTCTCATATACCGTGTCAGCAAGTGATATGGAGTGATGTATTACTCATCTCTACCTGTTCTTTCGAAAATTTGTGTTTCATTTTACCAAACCATAATCCAAGCAGCTTTTTGCAGTCTTGTCAAATGATGTGTTTTCTCCTTATCAAAATGGGTATCCATAATGTTGTCATTAAGCACAGTTGTTTTATTTTGATAATCAAGTTTTCTTAATGCTCACATTTTAAAAACACAGCCTTTTGCAGAAAGCGTAAGTCTCTAAAGAGAAAGCAGAGGGGCTTTCTGTTTGATCTGAAGTCAGTACTGCTGAAAGCACATCAAGACGTTTGTATGTATAGATGAGTATGTAGGGCTCAATCGTGGGGGTTTGATTGTCGTGGTCTCCAGTCTGTTTTGCATCACATCAACTGTAAGGAATTTCCAAGCTCTCCCAGTGCTCATTGACTTAAATCAAATTTTCTTGTTGCTCTTTTTTTTTCTTTATACTTGTGAAGTGAGTGTCCATCTTCACGGTTTTGTTTCCCCAGAGCCATACCGTACAAGTTGCACACTTGGCTCTTCAACTGCAGGACCTTTCAACATTATATGAAAGTTGTGGGTTGTTGCAGAATTCCCTTTGTGACCTTCTTGGCCCTTTTTAATAGTCTCTGGTCTTCTCTGTCTGCTCACCAGAGAGGTCGTAGAACAAGCTATTTACTGTTGTGTTTACAGCCTTTTACTATTGTGTTGGCATAAGTGAATCATATCGTTAAGCCCAATAAAAGAGTTTGCTTCATTATTTTTGTTAAGTTTTTTACTTTTGGGGTGTGTGTTTTTTTTTTTTTTTTTTTTTTTAGCGTTTAATTCACTTAGGGGCATCTCCAAGCCACAGACTGGTCTGCTTTCCTGGACAAGACCCAGTTTCAAGAATTGTCAGTGTTTGTAGCTAATTTCCTTTTCTGTTTTAGGGGAAGGTTGTTTGCCTACAGAGCACTCTCTAAAAGGTGAAAGTGCTTTGTTAGAATTTGCTTCTGCAGGAGTCTCCCATGGCACACAAGCCTGGGTGATCTCCTAAAAAGCTATCCTGAATCATGAGTTATTTGCCATCTTAAGCCTTTCTTGCATCCTTCTTGATCCCTGCCAAGGCCCAAGTCCGAGCATCTTTCAGAAGCACTGCAGGCCCTTTCTGTTTGGACAGGCATTTAGCAACCGAAATTAGGCTGAGTTCTTGGCTTTATTTAATTTTATTTATTATAGTTGCCCTTTTAAAATTGTTTTGTTTCTCTTGCTATAAAGCTTCCCTGAGCCTTTGTTAGGAAGGGCATCATATAAATCAACCTTGATGCAAGATATCAAGCTGAAATCACCATCTTTTAAAGGTATCCCATACTAAAACACTGAAATGGGTTCCATCAGCTAAAGAAAAATTCTCTGGGTAGAACCCAGGAAACTACTTTCTCTGCAGGTTCAAAAGTCTGCAAAGCTGGTAAAATACAGGCCTTTTCTGTTGTACAGGTTTCCCTTGCTTTATGCTGTGCATGCGTTCCTGGAAAACGGCGTATAACTCGAATTTGCATAAAGGAAATCCAATTTACAATGTAACAAACAGGGATATGTTCCAAGACCACCACTGTACTGACCCCCAGACCCATTTCTACCACTTCAACAAGGCCATTTTGGTCCTCTCCAACAGCAGACAGTACACACAAGCACAGGGCACTATCATAATGGGGATGGCAACTACAGAAACACGTGTCGCAGACAACGAGCAAGGAAAACAGATCCACACAGGAGACTATATTTCGGTGCTTGTCACTCCCACAATGCACTGCACAAAGCAGCTGACTGCATTTCCACCACACCAATCGCATAAGTGTGAATTTACCTTGCATATAAAGAATGTTTGGTATAAAAAGGGTAATGGCATAAGAGCAAATTCACACATACAGAACTTGCATAAAGTGAGGGAAACCTGTATAGGAAGACTAATCTGTCTTTGGGGATGAGGAGGCATCCAGGAGAAGTGTAACCAAGAGATCAGGTAGATGTTTCTGTTCTGCACTTAACAGATGTGAAAACAATTTTTAGTTAATTATTTAAGTCTAAGAGTGTAGGGGAGATTTGGGTTGGTCTTACTCCTTCCTTCTGTTGGCTCTCATGCTCAAACTATGAAAAGGGTTTGTCTGCCTAGAGATGGGTGTTCAGTTAAACCTGTTTCACCACTGTCAGTTGAGGGTCCAATCCTGGTCCCACTTGTATTAATGCAAGTTTTACTCTTGGCTTCAGGTATTTCCCCCAGGTTCTAGATTTCGAGGTTGTTGAAAGCTAGTCTGGTTATTCTTGAGTCGAGATACCTTGTCCCAGTAGAAGAATACAGTGGGATCTTACGGCCTTTCATTTGATGCTGCTAGGTTTCTAGGGCAAGAGTTTTGGGGAATACAGAGCTGCAGGGATCCTCCTGGGTAACGGAGTCCAGCTGCCTCCTGTGGCAGCCCCTATGTCATGTTATCCCTTTCATAAACTCTCTTCACTCCATCTTTAAAAGTAGCCAGGTGTGTAGTTTCTCCTAAATATTTATCAGAAGGCTCTTCTAGAACCTCACTGCTCTAATAGGTAGGAACCTGCTTCTTATTCCCAACCTAAACGTACTCATTGCCAGTTTATACCCGTTGGTCCGGGTGCCAACCTTCTCTTAGCTTGAATAGGTTTTTTTTTTTTTCCCCTTAGTTATATTTTGTATTTTAGTCGTATTCCCTGTAGTTGATGGCAGGAATCATATCCTCTCTCACCTTTCCATTTTCTAGATTAAACAAATGCAGCTCCTTAGCACCAAACAAACTCAGCTTCTTCTTAAGAGAGGCTCCCCATTCCTTTGAGCACCCTAGCTAGTAGACCTTTTGTGCACCCGTTCCAGGTTGAGTTAATCTCCCTTGAACATGGGGAACCAGAACTGTATGCAGTGCTCCAGATAAGGTCTCATCAGTGTTTTTACAGTGGCGTTAATACTTCCTAATTGCTATTCAAAATGCCTTGCCTGATGTATCCTAAGATTACATTTGCCTTTTTCTTTGCTGTATCCTATTGGTGTTATAGCTCTTCTTGCAATCTGCTGGTGAACCCAACTCTTCTCCTTCAGTAGTTTCCAACTGGTAACCTCCTACCTTGTAGCAGAAGCTTCTTAGGACACAAGGTGTGTGGTCTTTTATGTTGTATAATTGAATTTCATCCCATTTGCATTTCTCCAGTTCCCAAGATCATCTTGCATTTTCTGTCTGCTGGCCTAGTCTTCTACATAACTTTTTATCACCATCAGATTTAATTAATTCCTACAACTTGTACCAGGGTGATTAACAAACTTATTTAAGATTGGCTCCAAGACTGGCCCTTGTGGAAGTCTACTAGTGAAGTTTACTCCATCCCAATACTTCCCTTTTCAAAACCACCTGATGCCATCTCTCCTTTAGTCACTTTCTTACCTGCCTGACACTTTCTCTACTGGTTCCCAACTTTTCCAGTTTAACTAATAACTCCCTATATTAGTATCAGCTTGTATTAGCTGATTTGCTGAAGTGCAGGTGGCTGAGAGAGATTGCATTTCATTTGTGTAGAAAATCAGCTATCATGAGAGTCTGGCACAATCATCTACCCTTGGTAACTCCATGTTGCATTTTATCCTGTTCTTCATATACAATACCTCCATCTCTTTAATTATACTTCCCTTTGAAATATTTTTGAAAGCCTTACATACTATTGAGACCCGGCTAGGTGTCTGGATCTCTTTTCTCCATCCCCTCCAACCCCCCTTATTTCTTAAATCTTGGGATTGCATTTGCTATTTTCCAATCATATGGTAAAACTTGCAGTTCGGTAGGCCTGTAATCTAAAAATGGTGAAATGCAGAGAGACTTCCACTCAGGTGAAATGCCAATACGTGAAGCTGTGTGGGCTTCATGCTCTGATGTTTGTTT